GAAGGAGTTCAATATTTGGAAGGTGGTCCCTTTGGCCATGCTTTGGTCCTTATGGAAACTTAGGAATGAATGCTTATTTAACAATGGTAATGCAGATTTTGCACAGGTAGTAGAGCTATTGAAAGTAAGAATTGCATTATGGATCAAGTCATATGTTAAAGGGGTGAATTACACAGTGCATGATATTGTCGCAAATTTGAAGCAGGTGAGAGGTTGTATCACATAGGTTTATGGCTGTTCTGTCATTATGCAGATTGGTAGCAGTGTGGTAAGTAGTAGATTGGTTTGTAGTAGTTTGGTCTGAAGCTCTTTCTCTGGCTCCAGTGAAGCTCCTTTGGAAAATGGGTATTTATGGTTGTTCTGTCATTATGCAGATTGGTAGCAGATGGGTATGAAGTAGATTGGTTACAGAGTGGTATGTATCAGCTTGGTTCTGGTTTGTGAAGGCAGTGCAGAGGCATGTTGAGTGTCATATGCCCTCTGTTAGCAAAGGAGTTTTGTGGGCTTGGTTGAAAGGTGGTCCTGTGTTAGCATAGGAGCTTTTGTGTGCTTGGATGAATGGTGGCTGGTTGGTAGCTTCTCCATCCTTTGCTGGTAGCTGCTGCAAGAATAATGGTGTACTGGGCTTATGGTTTGAATTGTTGTGTTGATCTATGGGATGTCCTGCTGCTGATCTACTTGCCTGACTAATGGTCTGCTTCTTGCCAGTGTGTGTGGTCTGCTGTCTGGATGCTCCATCAGAGGGCTTTATTGCTGTCTTTGTTTTGTTTTTTGGCTGGTTTTTAGTATTTCTATCTGTTGGCTTTGGCATGTTTTAGATTTCGGTTGTATTTTTGGTTTGGGTTTGGGTTTGTTGATTGTGGTTGTTTACTCACCAACTCACCATCTCTAGGTGGTGTGCTAGCATATGATTGGGCGATTTTAACCGTGCCAACCTAATTGGGATTGTTTTGTTTCGCTATGATGCTCTTTGTACGATTTGAGTGTAGAGTTGTTTTTAAATTTAAAATATTAATATTTTAAATTATTTAAATTTTTTGAATATTTAAATTATTTAAAATTTTACGATTTAATTTTTTTGAATATTTATTTTAATTTTTTACTTATTAAATTTTTTAGATTATTTAAATTATTTAAATATTTATGATTTAAATTTTTTGAATATTTATTTTTAAAAAAAATTATTTCCTTTGTAATATTTTCAATTAAAAAATTAATTAATGTTATTTTCTGTTAAGAATAATTTTTTTAATTGAATTTTAAAAAAAAATTAATTATGAATATTGATTAAAATTTTCAATAATGTGAAAGTATTGTGTTTTGTTATGAGTTATAACAATTTAAATTAAGTTTTGAAAACTGTTTCCAAAACTCATAACCAAACAAATTTTCAAACTTCAGATGTCAAATCAAACTTTCAAAACTCAATTCAACACTCTATTCAAAAACCATAACCAAACAAGTTTTCTACACTCAAATCATAATTCCACAACTCACAAACTCGAAATACAACTCATCCTCTTAAATCATATTTACAAAACTCTACTAAACGCAACCTTAGTATTTTCCTTTTAAGAAATTTTTATTATATAAAAATATAGAAAGTGAAAGGTCAAAAGTTCTGAGCACTTTGTTCTTAACTCAAAACACATATCTCACTGTGCTCATAAATTAGAATCCTTCGGGTAGAAATGTTTCAAAAAAAAAAAAAAAAAAAAAGAATTATTTCAGCAGAAGAATGCTAACACATTATACTGAAGATTAGTATTGCCACCCACTAAAAGAAGACTAGAATTATTTCAGCAAAAGAATGCTAACACATTATACTGAAGATCAGTACTGCCACCCTCTAAATTATGAGGCATATTAGTCAGAAACCATTTATCCCTAAAATCTGCAGTAAGGGTGTTAATTAAACTACATGGCATATTTCCAACCCTTAAATCCCACATTTCATTGTTAATTAGGATGACAATTTTGCATCGGCTTGTCATTATCTACTGATACAAGGAGCCAAGAATGTTAACACTACTTTTGGATTTATGAAAGGATTAAAGCACTTGTTGACAACGTGACGCAAGACTAGAACTGCATCTGCAAAAGACACTATTTTTGGATTACCCTCACAGAACTTTTCTTGTTTTTAATTAAATTGTCGATTTTGTCTTATGTGAAAAAGTATTGTGCATATTTTAATGAATACCCCCAACTTCAAAATATATTAGTAATTGTTCTTGAACAGTCCAGTCAAATATTTTAATCGCAACATGACCAAGCAATCTCCAAACACTAGTGTTATAGTCTTTCCCACATTCACAAACTAACTTCCTAAACCTTACAAAAGTCTTCAGTCTAAGCCCCACCTCAAAAACAATAAATAAATAAACAAAATCTGAAATATACATGTAGACAACAAGGAAAATTAAGATGCCAAGGGAGTTGACTTCTAAAATAAAGAAATAGCTATGCATACATGGCCTTGATCAAAATTCTTTCCCAAAACAAAAAATCAAGCAAAGGCCTCAAAGGACTAGGGAGATTAAACAAAGGAAAATTGTAACCTTTTCGAATGCGACCCATGGTGTTCTCATGAGCCAAAAATATAGCATCAGGATTGCTATTCTGAACAACTGATAGACCTATACCAAACCATCAAACAGAAGATCATAGTCAATTTAGCATCAGTTAGGTAAAACAGAATGTAAATCCAAATCTTTTAGAAGAAAAATTCCAATAAATATTAGAAAATATAAAGTAATTAGTTTGTAGGTAATAACATTTCTATGAGGGAGAAAAAAGAAAAATTTTAGACTTAAATTCATATACAACAAATTAGACATTAGTATATTCCTATCGATGTGCATTTTTAATAGAAGCCACTGAAGTCAAAGAGCATTTAACCAAAAAATAACATGATATGCAAAACTTCTGCACCTGCTTTCACTTTTTCTCTCATTTTTTTTTTTTTTTTTCCTTCTTCTTCCTAAGGTTAGGCTCCAAACCTTCAACCCAATGCTTTTTGAAAAGGCAGAAGGATAACAATTTCTCATTTACAAAATTCAAGAATAGGAACATTGTTACAGTTGAAAGTCAATCATGTCACATAACAAACAGAGGCTTGGTTTCAAAAAATTAAGCCCTAACATGCCTAAGAAAGTCAGTCAAAACTAACAAGTGAATGACAACAACATACTGACCTTGTGTTTCACTTTCTTGAAGTCCAGCAAGCGCAATGATTTCAGCTTGTGGATGACATATAAGCAGCAATTTGGCTTCTTTGTGATATTATTATCAAGAAGACTAAGGAACTGCAGCTTAGGGATGCAAGAGGATCAATCTCAACCAAGTTAGTTAGTTGATTGTTAGTGAGAACCATAGTATGCAACTTGGGCAAGAACTCTGCAAATCCACAAAACATAACATATCAAGAAGCTTATGCTCGCTGAATAAGCTTTATATTTTGTGATTTATTCACATTTTTATTCCACCAAACTTTTCATGTCCTTGGTGATTTCTCATATATAACAGGATAAGTTTCAAATATAGCCATTTTCTTTATATATATATATACATATATATATACAAGATTCATAGGATTGCACCCGCCCATTGATAGTGAATATCCTGTGGAGGCTATATGGCCCATCTCACTAGCATAGAAAATGAAGGTAGAAACATTATCAGTTATGTACAACTATTCAGATTTTTTAATAATGTTTTCATGTTTCCATTTCAAAATTATGAGTCATTCAGATAATGTCATCTAATTTAATAGCTATGCATTTTGATTTTTGCTATTTATGAAATAAAGAAGTCCATGTCACTCAAGGAGAAACAAAATAGAGTTGAAGCCAGCAATGCATGAACAATTGATGCTATCTCATCTTAAGTCTAAATGGCCCATTAATTCCACTCCCACAGATCAACTAACCCCTACACCACAAACACAAAGCACTAAAAAAAGGTACAATTCATAGCTCTAAACCCCACCAATTCATAGCCCTCGTATAACTACTATTTTTTCCTTTTGCGGAGAGAAATTGACACTTGAGGCAAGGAGAGAAAGGAATTCATAGAAATTAAGTGAGGTGTTCACTTTTAATAATAGTTTAGAGATATAGATAGATATATATTAAAAAAACACCCACAAGAAAACAATATAAAAGTATAGGAAGAGCCAGTCATTTTAGTGGCATTTTATCAAGCACCTAGGAGGCATAAATAACATGTATATAGTTTTCTTCTCTGCTAGACGGTAGAAATAAAATAGGGATACATAGAGATACCTAAGAAAACATAGATTCACAAACATACCCAGCCAAAAACAACAAAGAGAAATAGATATAAGTAATAATCGTACACATAACACAAATCATCTTGATATGGAGAGTCACGATTTTGGGTATACGTTAATATTTAGATACATACAAACATATGCAAACATCACACAAAGACAAGGAAGAGAATCACCTTATACGAATTTTCTTTCCAGTAAAAACCTAGCACAAATCTTGAACAAAGAAAGAATGGTGAAACTAAAATAGAAACCATTAGAAGTAAAAATCAAAATTACTTGAAAAATTGGCAATGACAACAAAACCTTAATTTTTCAATCAAAACCCCCCCAAATAAAAACCCAAAATTCTCAATTTAAAACTTAACTTCTCAAAACTTTTATTTTGTTTCTTTCAATTGAAGTCCCCAAAATCACTAAACATATACATGAAATAGAACAAATGGTGATAGAACAATCTGAACAGAGTTTGGCCAGAAACAGAAAAATCTACCTTCGTTCAATCAACACCTCTTGACTGTGGTGGTTTCGAAACCCTAGTTTCATAGAGAGAGAGAGAGGGAGAGAGGGAGTCAGAGTGTGAGTGAAAGAGAAGCAGTAACAGTTTACCATAAAAAGAAAGAGAATCTGCAGCAGAGAGTTGAAATCGAAATCAATGAGACGATCAAAATCAAAATCAAAATCAAACAAAGAATGAGTAATCACTTTAACAGAAATCAACAAAGCACTGTGTACCAGGTAACCCTTCTTCATGGGACGATTCAGAGAGTTGAGCTCCCTTCGAACCCTTCTCTCGTTTGATGAAACCTTCTAGGTTCATTTTGATTAGAAGCCGAAGACTTGGAGATTGTGCATTTTGATATATTGACAACATGCCTTGTGCCGGTGTGTTTTGAGAGAGAGAGAGAGAGAGAGAGAGGGGAGGAAAGCAGCAAGACAAAATATGGGAAAATTTTTTATTTTATTTTTCATTGCCGCTAAATTTTTCTTGTAAAATTGGTTATAAAATTATTTCCTTATTAAAGAGCAAATTATTGGTCATGAAAATAGTTTTTTTACTAAATGATATTAAAATATTAAAAAATATTGGTGATGAAAATATATTCGTCACTAATAATTTTATAATTGATGACTAATTTTTTTCTCACCAAAAGTCTCAAAATTTTAGTGCTACCCAAAAAAATTAACAGAAAAATCTTTGGTGACAAAAAATAAAAATAATGACAAAAAATAATTTCGTCATCTAATTCTTTATTATGTATGTAGATTGGTGACGAAATTTTATATTTCTCTCTAAAAATGATACATTTGGAGACGAAATATTATTTTCTTCATTAAAAGGTATGTCTTTTGTGACAAATTATTTTCATCATTAGCTTTCGTCTCCAAAGACTCTTTTTGTTGTAGTACATGGTAGAGGTCAGTGCTCTGTTCTGTTTGACACAGGCCATTTCTTTCTTCCCGTTGAAGAGATGGGATGATGGGTGAGATGATATACAAATTCATTGCTCAGATATTTCCTGACATCCATGTGTGTTTTGCTTGTTGAATGATGGGTGTCTGATACAAACCATGTTATAATCAGTTCACAGAATCTGACAACTCTGCACAAGGTGGTCATCCGACCACTGTGACCATTTTCTCTTGATGGTCGTCCTCTCGGATGTCCACCCGGTCATCTGACTGAGTCCCGATCGTAAAGGGTGACTACCGCGATCATTGAGCATACTGCTAGTCTGGCAGTCGGAGCAAAGCTAAATTGAGCTGGAGTGAAACGGTCTGATTTATGCCTAGTCGATCGTCCTCCGAACATCCATCTAGTGTATTTTCAGTCTCCTTTGCTTTGACTACTTCTGCTGCTACTATTTGGTGTTGTTATTGGATTTCTTTAACACTTGTTTAAGCTTCTTTTTGGCCTTCAAAAACATAGTTAAACACTAAGTGTAACGCCCGAAATTTCTAACCCAAATGATAATACAACAATCATGGCTCTTTCAAGAAAAATCGAATATAAATCTCTAAACTTACATTATATGATACAATAGTTCTTCATGCAACAATACATTAATCCAACAATAAGTAAATAAACAAATAAATACCCTCAAGGGGTTTATAAATTTCCAAGGCTTGAGCTTGGTTACACAAAACGGTTATTCAAATCCACACACATACAGCCCTTGGCTTACACACAGAGTCACAACAAAATGAGAGTTTCGTACTCTCAACACACATTTCATCGCCTTTAATAGGCGACATCACCACATCTTTTCTTGCACAAAAATCACGTATTATGAGCATAAAGCCCAGTAGAAAATCTTTAACAAACACTACAACAAATTTGGGATTTAAAGACGAAACAAATTTGTCCCAAAATGTATATATTTCGTCACCCAAACTAATTACGACGAACATTTTTCGTCACCCGTTTTGTCTCCAAAGGGTCGTTGCTAAAGGGTCTTAGAGACGAAAAAAAAAATCGTCATTGAAAATGATAAATTTGTGACGAATTTTTTTGTCTCCAATACACTTTGTTGGGAACATACTTGTAAGTAATTAGAGACAAAATATTTTGTCATTAAAGAAGAAATTAGAGACAAAAGTATTTCGTCATAAATATAAGAAATAGAGACGAAATAATCTTGTCACATTTAATATAAACGAAGACAAAAAAATTTTGTCAAAGAAGCTACCAATAGAGACAAAAACAAATTCATCATTAAAAATGATAAATTTGTGACGACTTTTTTTGTCTCCAATACACTCTGTTGAGAACATACTTGCAAGTAATTAGCGACAAAATATTTTGTCATTAAAGAAGAAATTAGAGACAAAAGTATTGTCATAAATATAAGAAATAGAGACGAAATAATTTTGTCACGTTTAATATAAACAAAGACAAAAAAAATTTGTCAAATAAGCTACCAATAGAGACAAAAACAAATTCATCATTAAAAATGATAAATTTGTGATGACTTTTTTTGTCTCTAATACACTCTGTTGAGAACATACTTGCAAGTAATTAGCGACAAAATATTTTGTCATTAAAGGAGAAATTAGAGACAAAAATATTTTGTCATAAATATAAGAAATTGAGACAAAATAATTTTGTCACGTCTAATATAAACGAAGACGAAAATTTTTTGTCAAAGAAGCTACCAATAGAGATAAAAACAAATTCATCATTAAAAATGATGAAATAATGTCAAAAAAAATTCGTCACACATTGAAGGTAATAGTGACAAAATGTGACAATATTTTTTGTCATAACAAATTCATTTAGCGACGAAATAAAGAATTTATGACAAAATTAATCATCCACCTAAGCCAAATAAGAGACAAAAAAACCTTCTTTAGGGATGGAAAATTTTGTCAATAATTTCATAATATTTTTTTTCACATTATATACCTATTTTATCAAAATCTAAATTTTAGTTCAACAAATATGACCCTGTTCATGTTGAAACCTGTTGAATATAACAATTCCATCACAACTTAACCTAACCTGTTATCAACACATTTACGAATTAACAAAATGAAAATATCCATTCATCATTACAAATAATGTCATCCTGATATAATATAATAGTGAAATATCCACAAAATATCCAAAAGTTATAACTTGTTCAATTCCGCCAAAAATCCAACAATAACTAGTGTAACTCCAAAAAGTATGTGTATCCTTATCAAACAAAAATGAACATTCAAACAAATTACATCATTGTTGCACGTCAAAAATGCCACCCCAATCCAATCTGCAAAAAAATAAATTAAAAGTTTTAGTAATTAATCAATTATACAAAAGATTAAAAACATTAGTAACTCATCAATTTACAATTAGATCAATTATACAATTTATCCCTGTAACAGACTTTTTTTTAGATTATGAGAACAAAAAATTAATTTTAAAGCTAATTCACAAATGGTGCATCCCATTAATGTGCTGTAAGTTCATACAACTTATATTGGTCCCTCCTAGAGTGTTTCTATTGGTTCTTGTACAAATCTATAATTGTGTGATAATTTAGCATTTCGACAGCCTTTTTTCAAGCTTTAAGTATAGAGAAAAAAATATATTTTTTAGACTAATTCACAATTTATACATCATGTGCACCTGTACAAATTGGATGTCATATGCATGTTTCCATTACTTCCTAATTCTTCAAACATGTATTCTTTTATAAAATTTGTTATATTAAAGTTAATATACTTTACCAAGAAGTATGTCCACTTGTGGATGAGTCCCCTCCACTTCCAAAGTGTCCAGTGAATCCTTTGGTCCTCAAAAAGTTGACAACATCAGCCATTATCTCCCCTTGCTTCTTCTTACCCTCTTCAAGATCTTCTATTTTATTGTTCTGCATTTGTATTTGTTCCTTTTGTGTCTCTATTTGCATCTCAAGGCGCTTCACATAATCATTTGTTTCAGCATATATGGTGGTGGCTCTCCTAATAGAGGATGAATGTCTCATGCCAAGTCCCTTCACATAGCCAGACCTTGGCTTCAGGACTTTGATTGATAGCTCTTCTGCAGTCAAAGGGGTTGATCCTGGCTGTGAGAGGTGATCAGCCTGTGTCTGTATCATATTTTCCTATCAAATATAAAAAAAATTAAATAATTATTAGAAAATTAAATAAGATTATAACAAATAGTATTCTAAAATTTTGTTACTAAAAATTGCAATATATACGCACATAATTACACTAAGCTTGAGATGAGATCCACTCATGTGTTTTCTCATTATAGTGAGTTTCCTTGTACAATTCTGCTAGATCAGGTAGCATCTTCTTTTCTCGTGCCTAATTCGATAGACCAAATATTCAATAAATAAAGCAAAGAATCTAATATAATTCTGAAAGTGCAAGGATACGTACCAGTTTTTCTACTCTAACAGGGATTGACCTAAAACCACACCTATGTTTTGTATACATCCTTTCTCTATTCGCGATGTTGGCCTTTGATTGTTCCTATAAGAAAGAATGACCAATATAATAATGAAATGTATCATTAGTAAGACAAATATGTTGGCTTTTGATTGTTCCTGTAAGGAATAATGAACCAATATAACAATGAAATGTATCATTAATAAGACAAATATGTTGGCTTTTGATTGTTCCTGTAAGGAATAATGAACCAATATAACAATGAAATGTATCATTAATAAGACAAATATGTTGGCTTTTGATTGTTCCTGTAAGGAATAATGAACCAATATAACAATGAAATGTATCATTAATAAGACAAATATGTTGGCTTTTGATTGTTCCTGTAAGGAATAATGAACCAATATAACAATGAAATGTATCATTAATAAGACAAATATGTTGGCTTTTGATTGTTCCTGTAAGGAATAATGAACCAATATAACAATGAAATGTATCATTAATAAGACAAATATGTTGGCTTTTGATTGTTCCTGTAAGGAATAATGAACCAATATAACAATGAAATGTATCATTAATAAGACAAATATGTTGGCTTTTGATTGTTCCTGTTGTCTTAATACCCTATATTAGTTACTTAGCTAATTGCTTACCATTATCATGAAACTTCAGACCAAACCCAAGAACAAACAGAAAATTGATACAATCATAGAAACTGAAATCTTAGTTCTTTATTCTATGATGTGAAAGATGCACTTTAAGGAACCATAAATTAATCTCCTATTGTGCAAGCCTTCCAATCCATGTTTAATAGTTTCCCTTTCTCATTTTTTCACTTATTTGGTTTTTATTATGTTCCACTTACATGCCTAGAAGATAAAGGGAAAAGAATACATATGGAATTTCACAGCAAATTGATTGTCTTCTTTCTAGTTGTTTAAGAATCTCTCCCTATTCTAATTAAATTCTTTCTTCACTAATATAATAAAAAAGATGAAAATGTTACCAGAAATTCTTTAGTGTTCCACTTTTTATCAATAAGATCTATCCACTTGGTAGGATCGACATTCTTTGGTGGGTGGTTTCTTGCATACTCCTCCCCTTTAGCCTCCTTCAGCTCCATGAATTGTTTGTGCAGCCTATAGGTATGGTTACTCAATCTCCGACCAAATTTTATGTTCATTGCCTTCTCTATATCAACAGGGTCTCCTTGTAAATCAAATTGATCCTGCAAAAAATAGATAAGTCATAGATAATTCTTATAAAAAATAAAATAATTACAATAAATAATTAAGATTTCTAACCTATTATAAAAATGAGTAAAATCTCCTATAGGTAGACAACGAACTTACATTCAAGCATTGAAACATCGCCTCCTTAACGGAGGCATCAACATACTTCCACCTACGAACACTTGGATTTGGTAAACGAGTTCGCATTTCTACACCAATCTTTGAGGCTAGTTTTGAGGCATAGTCCCCTACCGGTGCACGAAATTCTGGAGGGATAGGCACGCTAAGCTTTCCGTCTTTATCAACAAGGCCTTGAACCTCTTTGCCTCGAGTCGGGCCACGAGCATGCTTAGCAACGGATATTGTGAAGCCATAATATTGAAATAGTATGTGAACAAATTTAATTAAGATCTCAAATCAATGTAAATAAAGAGTGTGTCTTACCAATAGTATTACCAGCAGTCACCTCAAGTTGAGGCTCCACATTGAGAGGTGGTGGCGGATTGCTAGTCACCTCAGGACGTGAAGAGGTATCCCCCTCTTCTAATGCGTGGGTCAATGCCTCATAATGAGATTGTGAACGGGCTCTCGATGGTATCTCTAACAGCTGAATAACATAATAAAATATGAATATATGTACAAAGATATACATGTCTATGTGTGTATGAATTGAAAGTAACAAGAAATAATATATTTCACAATGCATAAATGTATAGTACCTCATGCTCAAACGAATCATAGGTTTCAGTGTCACTACCATCTTCAGCCTCTGACGGTCGATAATCATCATCATTTTCCTCAATTGGTATTTGTTTTTGCTTCCTCAATTTCTTACGTTGAACCGTAGCCTTCAAACAAGTTGTTATATTCTTCACTCCTAGAGCATTCATTCTCTCACGGTTTTTATTAATATTCTTCATTCTTTGTTTCTCATAGTTCGTTACCTTCTTAGTTGCGGTACTTGGTTTGGTCAATTGCTTTTTTGTAACGTCCATTTTGCCCAACTATAAAGCATAATTGAACATTTTTTTGGTGGATACGCATAATTGAACATTAGATGTAAAGAAAAGATAATTATATATTTCTATACATAAAGCATAAAGCAACAACAATCTCAACAAGTGGATATGTCATATAGGCTCTAAATCATTGAAATATGGCTAGAGTGATATGGATGATTTTTGTTTTTCCCATTTACTTATCATAGAACAAATTAATTACAAACTAAGCCATGGAATTATTTATCTTCACCTTGACTTGTACACTAACAACCACATGTTCTCTACCTTTTGTCGTCTTCCATGGTAATTTTCTAATTTTTCTCTATATTTTTTCATCATTTTTTATTTTGTAGTCATTAGCTAGCCACTTTGTCCTTTGTTAGTGCTCTACTCTCACTATGCTCAATTTGGTTCAATTAATTTACTGTTTGATGTTTAAGTGCTTTTACCAAGTTGGTTTGTGGAATGTAACAGTTTGGTTGTTTTGGATTGTGGCTTTATGAAATTTTCTATACCCTTATTTGCTGTGCTAAAAGCTTAAATTTTTAGGACTATTAGCATTAATACGAACACAGAAATTGCTTTCAAGTCACTACTTAATTCATGACCTGTTTGGTAATGTTGTGTGTTTAAGGTTGGTCAGTTGTTGTCAAATTTTGTCTTCCTTAAGTTGAGAAAGATGATAAGCTGAGAAAGAATGGATTGAGATGGTTTGGTCATATACAATGAAGACCAGTGGAGGCAGTAGTAAAGAGATGCAATAAAGTGACGGTAGATGGAAGTGTTAGGGGAAGCGGCAGACTTAGATTGATGTGGGTTAGTGTAGTAAATAGAAATATGAATCTCTTTATTTTTACTAATCAAATGGCCTTTGATAGAATTGAGTGGAGAAGGGGATTCATGTAGCTGACCCATTTGATGGAACCTAGGGCTTGGCTTGGTTTGGTTTGGTTTGGAAAGAGAAGAAAATAACAGAGTCACTGCAAGCTCTTCTTCTATTTACTCTTGAATGATTTGTTTACATCAATAACGCCCATATATATAGGGTGAATCGCTATCATTTTCCACAATTTTTATAATTCTATATATATATATATATAATATATATATAAAATTATGAGAGAATAACTTAAAACAAAACAGAGCATCACATATTATAAACAAAACAAACCAAACCGCTGACTTAAAACAAAACAGAGGATAATATATATATGCCGTTTGACACTCACACACACAAACCCCCCACCCCCCACCCCAAGTTGGATCATGAAATTGTTGAAGTGTCAAACTTAAACTCGGAAATTAAATTATTGCCGGAAAATGGTTGTTTAAGTTTGCACAAAATGACACATTATGCAAATTCACCAAGTATGCAGCCATACTAAATTATTGGTAGTGCGACTTTGCTGAAAAATGCACGAAATGACACATCATGTAAAAATGGATCATGATAATGACACCCTCTCAATGAAGTTTTGGGAGAAGACGAATCAAACATCTTGCAAACATGTAAGTGTGCAGAGAATGAGCAATATGCAAACACATCAGGCACGAAATGAACATTGTCCAAATGGTGGTAAGTCAATCTTCCTCTAAATGACAAATAGGGCAAGATATGTGCACAAAATTAGTATCATGCAATCATAAGAAAATGATGCAAGAAATAAGACATCTTGCTAATGGAATGCATCTATGGATTGAAAGAAAATGTGACACCATGGGCCAACGAGAAATGGCATTAAGGGCCAATAGGGAATGGCACTTTGGTCCTATGGGAATGCCATTATGTGCCAGGGGACTTTGGCTTTGAAATATTTTTTTGGTAGCATTTTGTTGCAAATGAACTGAACAGTGGCAAAAACAATGCATGGTTTGTTGTGGACGGGAGAGACCATGACATAAGAGACCATATGAAAGAAACGATACTAAAAACATTGTATTACTACTTAAAAGGAGGCAGAACCAATAGATAGTTAAAAGTGGATGCAAATGAGTCATAAGTAGTTGGGAATGGTCTGATGTGAGAGGAAGACAAGTGCCACCAACCCAAGTAGGAGTTTCTCGCTACTAAGGTTCCATCAATCTTGGCTTATGTCCACACATAAAGCCACAGTGGGCTACATGATTGTATTACTACTTGAAAGGAGGGTAAAACCAATAGACAGTTAAAAGTGGATGCAAATGAGTTATAAGTTGGGAATGTTCTCATGTGAAAGGAAGACAAATGTCACCCAAGTTGGAGTTTCTTGCTACTAAGGCTCGATCAATCTTGGCTCATGTCCACACATAAAGCCACAGTGGGCCACATCTTATATTCACTCTTGAATGATCTGTTTATATCAATAACACGTATATATAGGGGTGAATTACAATCGCATCCGGTAATTTTAGTATTTTATGGCCCAAAGAACTTACTGTTTAAAGCTTAAAGATGGAATTGAAATCTTATTAGAAAGAGAGAGGAGTTTTTGCAGTAGGAAGTCTGATCTCTTGATATACAAGTGCTAGTGTTCTTAATGTTGTTAATAGGGTAATTTTTTGTTTAACATTTTTATTGGTGTTTCATATTTTAAGCTAATTTTAAAACTTGACCTTCATTATCTACATGATTGTTGCTTTTCTGCACTTGGTTTTGTAGCAAGCTCTGACTCTGGTTTTTGTGGAGACGAAGAAAGGAGCTGATTCACTGGAACATTGGTTGTGTATGAATGGGTTTCCTGCTGCTACCATTCATGGTGACAGAACACAGCAGGTAAAGTTGTTTTAAGCATTATCTTTTGCTGGGGTATTTATTATGATATTGGTGGTGTATATTTTGGACAAATCACAAAAGTAACTCATTCAATTATAATTAAAAAAAGAAGAGAAAATCTTGTGGATAGCAGCATATTTGTTCTTGTTTCATGTTTACATTTTAGTCTAGAGGTTAAATTGCATTGGCGTCCCCTAAGGTTTTGAAATTAGGCACTCTCCATGTGCATGTGTCCACGGCTGAGAGAGAGAGAGGGAGAGTATAATTAAAAAAAGAAGAGAAAAGCTTGTGGATAGCACTGTAAGCAGATTGTGGAAGAGCAGAGGAAGTTTGATGGTGTTGAAGATTTGTACCGTGTGAGTCCCTTCCAGTCAGATTGTAGAAGAATGCAGCCGATCCCTCAGCCGTGGGTTGCAACTGTAAGCACACCAGAGGAAGAGCAGAGGAAGTTTGATAGTGTTGAAGATACAACCTTTCAACTTCTCAACTTTCAATTTTATTTGATTTCATTTTTTGAACCGACTGCATTTTCTTCTCAGCCTTTCAACTTCCTCTACAGTTGCCTCGGTGTGCTTAAAGTTTACAACTCTATCTATATAAAGTTTAAACTTTTTGAAAGTCTACATCTATATCTTCGAAAAGTCAGATTAAAAAAATCTTAAACTTTATCCATTCGGGAAAATTTACTTTAGCATATCAACTTTTCAGCCTTTCAACTTCTCAGCTTCCAAAACTACCACTAACTTGATGTTAAAAAAATTTACTTTTTATAATGGTATACATAATTTAAATATAATTTTTTTAATTTTTTTTTAATTTAAAATTACAATAAAATATTAAATAGAATAAAAACAAATTTCTTACAAAATAAAAGAATTTGAATAAAAAAAAAGGTAACAAGGAAATTTAATATGGTATTTTTATTTAATCCGAAAATAATTTTAGATGAATAATAAATTATCACCTATAACCCTTTTCTTTTTTTAAAAAATAAAAAAGTTTAACGAACTATCACTTTTAATAAAAAAAAAAAATTAAGGTTTCTTTCTAATTTATTTTAACAAAAGTAACTTTTTAACAATTTGAGCCAAATATTTCTTTATTCTTTATTTTAATTTCTTTAATTGATAATTGAGATAAATAAAAAAAATCTAATAAAATTCACCATGTTTAGTAAATACTAAAAAATTTATGTTTTGTTCCTTTTTTTAAAAAAAATTATATTAAAAAATATTATTGTTCAAGTCCTTATAATTTAGAAGGATATAATTTTTTTTTATAAAATTTAAAACAAAAAAAATTAATAGCGATTAATAATTTGAACACATGTATTTAACACAAATTATATTTAGACCAATCATATTATGACACATGTAAATATTGAACTAATTCTAATCGTAGTAATATAATTTGAAGAAGAATTCACATTTGAAATTTTATTTTATAATTTAATAAAGGATTCAAAATTTAAGGAATGAATATTGATGTCATTCCAATTATAGTAACATAATTTAAGTAAGAATCCAAATTTGAAATTTTGTTTTCAGAATATAAAATTAATTTATAAACCAATCATATTGTAACACGTATTAACAAAAAATTAAACAAAATAAAAAAAAATGAAAAAAAGGAATTGCAACTTTCAACCTTAATGAAATGACAATATTTTGAAATTATAATAGTATATAGATAAATCATGGAATATATCATTATTTAAAACTTATGTATTATGGGATAAAAAATAAAAAAATTAGAAAATTTAGATTGGAATATTGAAGCTCCCACAGACCTTGGGGGTTAAAAACCCCCTTTTGCTTAACACGGAATAATTATAAATATTTATATTTGTATTAGATTTTTTTTAATATATAAATTATGTTTTTTAAGATTTTTTATAAAAATAATTTAACAATCTTATCACTAAGCATAGTGTATGAGAGAAGTTAAAAAAGGTACTACAGTAACTATACACGGATTGTATCTATAATTATTTGTATGAGGGGATTTCAAATGCTGATCAAGAGATTGTATCAATAAATGTAGGCATGTGGAAAAACATGTGGATTGAAAAAAGATAATAAATGTTGATCAGGGGATTTTGACCAAATCAATAAATGTTGAGTTTTTCTTTTTTTAATAAAAAATATAAAAATTTAGATTCGGATATTGAAACTCCCACGGGCCTTGGGGGTTAAAAATCCCTTTTTGCTTAATATATAATATAGATATAGATAGATAGATAGATATAGATATAGATAATATAATAGATAGATAGAGACGAAGTTTTTGAATTAATCACAACATAACCTTATGAGACGAAAAATATATTCATTGTGCAATCAATCAGAATTTATTAGTGACTAAATATTTTCATCTCCCACAACTTATTCTTCCAAGACAAAAATATATTTGTCGCTCATTTAATAGAAAGATGAAACGGCATCGTTTGCATGATGGAGTGTTTATTGGTGACGAAATATATTCGTCTTCCATAACTTCTCATTCCTAGACAAAAATATATTTGTCGCCTAATAAATGGAAATATGCAACAACATCGTTTAATAGGTAGGAAATTTATTGGTGTCAAATTATGTTCGTCGCAAAAAATATATATATTTTGTGACAAAAATGTTCGTCCCCAATCAGCTAAAATAATTTGCGCCAAAGCAAATGAAATTGGCGCCTAAATTTTGCAGATGAATTTTTTTTTCGTCTCCTATACGTTTGAGAAAAAATAAAACAAACGACAAAATTAATATTTTATCATCTTTGGGTTAAATTTTAAGACAAAAAAGAATTTCGTCACCAAATTTTGTCACAATAGCCTAGATTTCTTGTATTTTGTTTCCTTGTTCAATTATTATTATTTTTTTTTTCATATTGTGGTGAAGGGTTTACTATGAGAAAGAA